CAATCTTTTCAGACCACGTTGCGGCGAAGATAGAAGTGAATCACAAAGAGACAACTAGAAACAAATCAAACACTAGGAACTTAAACAACTCAATGTTGACCATTGAGTGAGTCAAGAAGGAAGTGAACGACGAAATTAAAAGATACCTGTAAACAAATGAGAATGAAGACATGAGCTACCAGAACCTAAGGATGCTGCTAAAGCCATGTTAAGAGAAAAATTTATAGCTTTGTAAGCTTTCCTAAGAAAAGAAGAAAGGTTACCTAGATAACCTGATTTCACAGTTCAATATCTTAGAAAAAGACCAACAAAAGGAAATAAAACTTAACCGAAGGAAAGAAATAATGAAATAGGCATTATAAAAGTGTACGTGCAATTTTTCATAGTAAAAACAAACAGTGGCCACTGGGGGCTGGTAGGGAAACTGAGGGATGGGCAGATGTCAAGTCTGGATTCTAGAGTTGTCTCACTCTCGTGGATGCTCCCTGTTGGTAGTTGCTGCTGTGAGGGCTGTGGGGGTCGTCCTGGGCATCTGACCTGCACCTGGAGTCGAGGATGAGACACAAAAACTGCTGGGAATCAAAATAGTGAAAATATAAACTATGCAGAATCATTGTATAACAAACTTTTCAAAGAATTTCTTCTTTTGAAAGATGCTTGACAGTCCTTAGTTTGTCTAATTTTCTAAGACCAGCCCTGCAGGTGGGGACTGTGAGGCAGTTTGGCAGCAATCAGTGTGAATTTGCAAATATATCCTATGAACAGTGCCCACCATCAACAGTCATAAAGAAAACTCAAAATAAGCTCAAAACGAGACTCTATTTCACACCTAATGGAAATTCTGCTTAAAAAAATAGTGGTAGAAATTAGAAATGCACGTGTTGCTTTTGACTATGTAAAATGTGAGCATGTGTGTGTGTGTGTGTGTGTGTGTGTGTGTATGAGTGTGTGTGTGTGTGGCAGACAAAATAATGGTCAAATTTGTTCCAGACTTAAGGTGGTGCTTAGGGAAATAGGCAGTGCTGTCTTTTGAACCCTGGGCTTCAGCACACAGAGCACGTACTTTGAAACATCCAGCCATTTGTGCTATCAAGTCAGACACAATATATTTTAGGAATGCAGTTTAGTAGTTCCCTAAAATGTTGAACAAAATTATTACTATGTGATATCATAGTTCTACATTGATATATGTTCTCAAGAACACTGAATACATCTTAAATAAAAACAACGTAATATATGCCAGTATTATTTGTGATATCCCAAATTGGAAACAACATAAATGCTCGTCTATTGATGAATGAATATACACAATGTGAAGTCTATGCAATGTCATCTTGTACAGTCATAACAGATATCAAACCATTTTCTTACTTTGACATTGGAATTCAGACCCAGACACTGACATTTGTGAAATATGTGTATTATATTCCCTGGTGTTTAGTCAGTCATGAAAAAAATTGAAGCAAGCAAGAGACCTGGGAGCAAGAAGTATCTCTAAGAAAATGAAACCAAGATGCAGATTAAAGTTATTCTGTCTCCAGCCCAATGAATTCCCAAAGCATGAAGAAGACTGGAAATGCTTTGAGATACACAATGGAGACCCAGATACTGACTCCAGCCCCAGCCCAGAGAAGGCATGAATGCTTTGGAGAGAATCTGCACAGAAACCAAGAGCAAATGGCTGTGAGAAGGATATGAAAGAGCAGTAAACGTCCTAAGTTCTTCCTTTAACAACACCCTAGGTACAGACTCTCATCTCCATAAAATACACAAGCTGGTGAAGTCAGAGGAAAACCTATAAAGCCTGCTTAGCTAAACCAAGCAGCATTCTGGTTCTGCATGTACCTGAATCTGTGAAAGCTTCTTTGGAGGTTGTAGCAGGGAAACTCAGGTACTTATATACCCTTAACCGAAGAATGGTCATTCTCCTGATCATGCAGTTTCAGAGAGATGACATGGAACAGTATGTGGGAAAGGAGACCCTCACCTAGCCAGTCAGATGAGGCAACCAACCCTGGCCACCACTGGGGCAAAAGATATGTCAGCCACGTGATTGTCTTCACATTCACGTGCCCCTTAACTTGGGTTGTGTCCTTCTGCTCTCTCCACTCAGGAAAGCCCACACTGGCTCTTGAATACATTTCCATCACTCCATCATCTATGTCCTTTTCAATCCCTTACTGTGAGGGCAGACAACAAACTCAGAAACCTAAACGGAAGATAGTACTTTCCCCCCTTTTCTGTGAAGAGAAGTTCCTCACTCAGAAATGAAGGGATGACATTGAAGAAAGCATGTGGTGGTGATTGAGTGGATTATCCAGAGACCAACTAGACATGTGTAATTTGCTGACTACCTTGTTGGTGGCAGTAGTGGTAACTGAGCAGCCATGGCATACAGGTGCTTGTTGCAAATGTTAGGAAGCCAATTCTCTATGCACTTCCCCAGGATATACAAGTGCATCCAAGGCAGGTAAGTTCTCTCTCTTGATATCTTGCTATGTCTCTGTCTCTCCCAGTTTCTCCCTCTGTATTGGCCTCTGTCTCTCTTTCTGCCATCTTTCACTCACTACTGTCAGTGTCATTAGGAGTTCCATTCAGGATTAAAACAAGGAAACTTCACCAAGAACTCCAGGAGAACAATGGTAACTCCATGAAAGCCTTCCTTTGAATATGGTCATTTGTGGGAGAACTCTTGTAGACAGGATCAGTGAAAATATAAATTTTAAGTCAGAAGAAATTTTGTTTCAAGGCCAGAATATTGGAGTGGTCTCTCTCTCATTGTGGTGCTCTTTTCCCCACTTCTTCCCTTAGTTTAGGAACATTATCTAGCAGGAATTGTAATCTTGGTAATATGAGGACACAGAAAAAAATGAATACAGGCAGCAAGATCAAATGAAAGAAGCAGAAGATAGGCTGAGTTGCTTCTTTTCTCTCTCCACTAACTAATGGAGATGCCTTTCACATCCATGGTGTGACTTGACACACAGCCACTGTCCTGTCAGATAGAAGGTGAGAACCAGGTCTGCCTGGCGCCCTAGTGCAGAGGTCACTGATGATTCAGTATACTCCAAAGACTCCCATGAATGCTTAGAAGCTAAAGTCCCTTCCAGGTTAGGGGTAAAACTTCCCTCTCTCTGGAATTTATTACCACCATGGGAAACTCAACTAAGGTGTGGTAAAAGTCTTCTTGGGATAAGACATCAAAGCCACACTGAGAGCATCAGACTTTCACACAGTGCTTCTGTATTCATTGGTCACTTCTGGTCCTAAGGACTCAAAAGCTTTCACTCCTTATTATTCACTTCTGTTTAGGGTGAGTAGTAAGACACTGGGAGAGAGTCGTGATGGCATGTTACAAGATGCAGCAATAGAGAGGGCTGCTGAACACATTATAGCCATATGAGGATGTCACTCTATTATCTAACCTCAGTAAACTGCATCTTTTAATGCCTCAGAGGCTATAGTTATCCCTGGAGATTCACTATTATAGATCCTATGGTACCTCCTATAACTATTAAGCCAGAATCCAAGGAGTATACTTACCTTTGTCAACTAGTTAATCAATATGTCCCTATGCAGTGAGAGGGAAAAAGCAGAACAGAGTCACTTAAGAAAAAACAACTTAGTTCTGGGAAGTCTCCTCTGATTTTAGTATTGGTTGTAAATTAATAGTGAAGGCAGCTGCAGATACAGTACAGAATGTGGGGCACTTGCCTAGCTCATGGGGTACCAGGGTCCAATGCCTGGTTGATGGTGTTCCTTCCACTTTGACATATGATTGAATATATGCATTGGATTCACATGCCTAAGTGGATAGAACCCTCTCAAATTATCCTGGGTATTCCAAGTGTGTAAAACTTAATGAATTTTCTTCTTGAATTCCATTATAAAACCAACTCCATCTACATCACCCAAGATAAGATTGACAGAAAACCTACAGTGAACCTACTGATGATTTAAAATTTCTTTGTAAGAATACGTTGTAGTCTTCTAAGAGAAAAGTACCATGCCTTTTTCCCTCAAAATAACTTTTATTGCTCATTACTAATAATCAGCAGATGGCCAGGAGAAAGAAGAGTTGTTATTTCTCTTCAATATTCTGGCCACGTGCAAAAGAAGAGAAACTAAACTCATTTTGGAATTTTTCCCTCTCTTGAGTCCCTCATTCATGAACAATTATTTAGATCAAAGCAGTTTTATTTACTATCTTCTAAAAAAAGTTCGTGGGGAAATAGCAATGAAACAGACCAAGGTTCTGCCCTGATATCTGCCCTGAACATTCTGACTAAACTGAAGGAAGATACAAATGAGAAACTTTACCAATATGGAAATAGGGCCTGAGGAGCTCTGAGAAGGCCTTTGGGAAAGTAAAGATGTAGGAACCATTATACATGTTGAAAAATGATACAAGTCCAGCTTTACAGTCCAGGAAAACTATCAAAAGTCAAGCCACCTCCCTCAGAGAAAGCAGAGTGAGGGAAGAGGTAAGGGCGACAGTGTCATTCTGTTTGCACAGTCAGATTACCCAGAATCTAGACTTGGCATCCAATGTCACTTCATTGTCCCTTGGCACATTCTCCAGACAAACTCCTACATACTATTCAGGTCCTTTTGGTATGAAGACTTCAAAGTCATGTCATCCTGAAGTGAAGGTCTGACATCCCAGGACACAGGGTGAGCCCTGAAAACTCCAAGGCCTATCATGTTTCTTCTGGGGGGGTCCACAAGTCCCTTGCTTCCCATTCTCAAACAGATGTGACACTGTGTGCTGGATCTGGATCCAGAGTGATGGTAGCTACAGTAAATAAATTAATTTGAAAATAAATAAACAGGTGTGAAAAATGAATGTTAAGTTTGGGCAAGGTACCAAGCATACTCTAAATAAAACCACCTTTGTTCAAATGAAATCTTTTTTTTTCACCAATTGTAGTAATTTCTAGACTCTGTAAAAATCCAAGTAGAAATTATCACTTTCACATAATCCTGGACTTCAGACTAACTTATTTCAGGTCCATGGATGCAAAAGAGGAAGGGGTACTTGGTGAAGCACTCTGGGCAGTACTCACCCTGTAGCCTTGACAGGCATCTGTAGCAAGGATGGTGGTTTGCCCTTTGTGCTGTTTTGTCCGCTCACAACACCAGCAGATGAGCTGACCATCATCTTCACAGAACAGGCTGAGCTTCTCTCTGTGGTCCTCACACAGATGTTCCTGCTCCGCCATCTTAATTGTGTCAGTGAGGTTTCCTAGCTGCTTACTGGGCCGGATACTCTCCCTTTGAAACTGTGCCCTACATACAGGACACTGGAAGTTTCCCCAGAAAGGTGACTTCATTTTCTGGTTCTCAAGATTTTCTAATAAGCCCGAATGGCAGTAGATGTGTCAACAGTTTTTCACTGGCTCAGTCATCAGCTCTAGGCAGATCAGTCAGGTGGCTTCCTCTCTCATGGTCTTAACTTTGCCCGAGGCCATGGTTTTTCCTGGAAACCATTAATACTGAAAATAGAATTAGAGATCAAGCAGATGGGATTTCTCTCTAACTGATGGAAATCTGAGTGACGTGCTGAGTCTGACTGGACTGACACTTTCAGAGAATGAATGTGTGTGTGGAATACAGTAGTACTATCCCAAGTGTTTTAGATTAGATGAAATTTTATATATTTAAATTTAGTGTCTCATTGTAACGAGAGCATTTTATTTGTTACATGCTGTGGGTGTTGGTCTAACTAGCAGTTCAGAAAAAGAAAAGACCATAACCACAGAAATGTTTTCTGGAAAAAATCTGAGAGAAGTCAGATGTTATTCATCACACAAGTTACATATGAACAGAAAGAATATTAGGGATTTTAAAAAATAAGTTACCAATAACCTTGTTAGGTACTCAGACCTAGAGCAAGACTGCAGCCATGACAGGCTGCAGCTGACATTATGTTTTGACTAGATGTAAGTTTCTGTTTCCCAGAAACTGGAGCTTGCAATTTCTGTTAAACTCCCTGTTGAGTAACTTGCCCAAAGAAGGAACTGCTAGACCATCTGACTGGTCATGAAGGGTCACGTGTCCATTTTTTTTTAAACAGAAACTGTTATCAAATGCTGACTGATCGCTAACAACTGTTGCTTGATCACTGCTATCATAGTGCCTTCTCAGCCTTGGAACCTGTATAAACTGCCTGCACTTGGTGGTCGGGGTTGCTATCAAGAGACCACTTTGTGGGTGAGACTGTTGACCCTAGTAAACTGAAATAAAATTCCTTCGCACTTGCATTACTATATCTTTGACTCTGTCCATTATTGCTATGACCTGAAAACCAGGGAACAACAAATATAACCATCACAAATACTTTGTTTCTGATTAATTGCTTGTAACTATAGAAGCAACGTTTAGGAATTAGGGCTGAAAATGAAGAAGATTCAGTGGATTCATATTTAACAAATGAAAATCCCCCTCTGTATTCTATCAACCCCTCTCTCCAAAGAACAGTAATATCAGTTCAATGAAGCCAGGGAGATCCCTCTAGGGTGACTATGTAAGATAATAGCTAACTTAAATGTCCATTCTGTCATCCTCCTGATCTGAGGGAAGAATAATTGATCTTAGGAGAGAAGAAGAGTAGGTCCTAGATCAGAGCTTCTGTAGACTCACAGAAAATTAACCTGCAAGTGCAAGACTTCCTAAGAAGAGCTCAGAATCAAATTACTTTACCAGTTATGAATAAAATGAACGAAAGAAATTTGCCCCACAAGGATTCATTACTGAGTGCAGAGCCAGAAATAAACCCTAGTCCAAAAGCCAAAAACCATGAAAAAAAAGGCAATGGTAATGTAACTTCAAGTCAAGGTAGTGTGGAGAATATCCACATATGACCCTTTCCCAAAGTCATTCAGAGCCCTTGCTCCTCTTGTGAAGCTCATAGTCTTTTTGGAACAATTTTTCCTTTCTTTCCTTTCCCTTATAATGAAATTATTTTATGTTAAACCAAAAAACAATATCTTGATAATAGTCTCTAACCATGTGTCAAGAAAGTCCTTCATTATTATCAAGTGGGTCTCGTCTTTTAGACAAGGATGTTTGATATACCCAGATCATAATGCAATATACCACTTCACTAAAGAGGTTTTAAAAATGAGCAAAATGCCCTTCACGCCCTACCGAGGCTATGAGTGTCTGTCTCTTTTGCCTCTCCCTCCCCCCACACCCCCCCACCGCCTACCAGCAGCGTGATGTGGCCACAGCCTCAGAGCTTATTGGACAGCCAGGTGTGAGCCGTTGATGACGGGGTAACTGCAGCCTCATGGGTTAGGGGGCAGAACCAGCATGTCCTTCACGCCCTACCAAGGCCATGAGTTGTCCCCACAAGCGGCTCTCCAGCACGGCCATGGCACCGGAGGCACACAAACCAATCTCGTAATTATCCAGTTCTTGGCAGAAATCCCTCCAGACTTAATTAGTAAAATATCAGAAATCCAAAATCGCAATAGCGGCCACGTGACACTATACAGTTTTTATAATCAGCAATAGAAAACAAATTATTTCACAATACCTTTTCAGCAGTTCTGATTGTTGGGGGAAATTCCAAACAATAATGGTGCATCTTTTGTTGAAATAATGAGTGTAATCAAAGTAGAGAGAGAGTTAAGTAGAAATCATCTACCTCACAGGCATCGGGAAGGGTGGGAGGGGGGTATATTGCTTCTTGGTGGTAAAAAATAATTAATGGTGAAGGGCTGGGTGTTCGATCATTGTATGACTGAGACTTAAACCTGAAAGCTTTGTAACTTTCTCATGGTCAATCAATAAATAATAAATAAATAAATAGCAAAATGTCCGTGTGTTTCCTAAAGACATAAGACTAAACAGTTTTTAAAAATGGGCAAAATGTCTATGTATATACTTCTCAAACACAATTCCCCATACATGTGAAACAAAAACATCATTTATTATTAGAGAAGTGAAATCTCAAATAATAATATATGATATGCCCCAGAGAAAAAGGCCTTAATCTTTTTTAATACTTTCAAGGAGCTGTTCACAGCAACTGATTACATTCAATATTTCAACACCAATGCCACCAACATTACACTTTCTCAACAACTTTATTTTGATTTCTACCACCAACACACATGCATGTCCCAAAGGCAGATGATAAATAATTTATTTTGTATTACTTCTATGAATAATTGACTACAAATGTTCCAATAGGTTTCCTTAAAAAGAAGTGTGTAAAAATTGTTGTATCTCATCTTGGAGCCTTTAAGCCCCTGGGTTAGAGATCATTAAAATGTTGGTAGGGGTTGAGTCTTGTGTACTATATATAATATATATGTACACATGTACCTACATATGAATTTTTTATCAACATTGTATTCCTTCTAATTACACCACTCCAAATATGTTGTACTACTCTTGGTATATCAGTGAAGGCCTTATTTTTATGGATAAATTAAGGATTGACAATGAAAATTACATATAGACACTAAGTTATTCTTAACATATTTATCCACACAGTAGCATCAAAAGCAGATTTTTAAAAAGGTAGATTACAGCCTAGGGATAGAGAAGTTATAATATAGATTATATCACTTGATCATTTGACATCCCATTACTCATAGATTTGCTCGAGCGGGCACCACTAACATCTCCATTCGTCCCTGTCGTATGCTTGTGTAGCCTAGATTATATATTTCAAAAAATATTTTCAAAAATATGTTCACATCCCAGAATATTATCAAGATAAGAGGCTGTGCCTTCTTGGTGTTAGATGGAGGGATACCAAGAAGGAACTAGAGTAAATCATGCCTTCTAGTGAGTCTATTTTTTTTCTCTGTCTCTATCTGTCTCTCTGTATGTCCGCATGCCTTTCTCTCTGTTTCTGTCTCTCTGTCTCTCCCTATGTCTCTCTCTATGTCTCTTTCTCTGTCTCTCTCTCTCACACACACACACAAACACACACACACACAGATATACAATCCTTAGGTCACATAGCAAACCTTGACCTTGTATTTTCACTTTCTAGTCCCCAAAACTAACATTTTTGTTGCCAGTCACTGCTGTAGCTTCTAGTGACTGTGGACCCCCTTTCACCCAAACTGGATTAAACTGGAAAGTGAAACTGTTGTGGGGTTCAAAGTCCTGATTTCCAAAGGTTTCAATTCGCCTTATTGGGGCCGGACTGATCCATCAGAATGAGCCCAGGTAGACTGTGCCACACATGGGCAGGAACAAGGGCCTTTGTCTTCCCAGGTTCTTCCCCTAACTTTTTTGTTGATGACCTCACTATATTGAGCCCTATACACTAGAGGTATGAACAATGGGATAGTAATAAAAGGAGATTTCAGGGCTCTCTACCTTGTCACAGAGTCTGTCCGAACCTGGACCATCCATGAAATATTTCCTTGTGTCAGCATCTCCAACAGAACGGAATATTTATGCAACACACCTTCTGACTGGTGGGGAGCAATGCCTTTACTCCCCAGCAATCAATAATACCAAGTGATAGGGCTGGAGCCATACTACAGCTTGTAAGGCATAAATTGTTTGCCTTGCAACTAGCCAACCCAGGTTTGATTCCTGGCATCTTGTTTGGTCCCTGAGGACAGCCAGGAGGGAATCATTAGTGCAAAGCTGAAAATACACCCTTAGTATTGCCAGGTGTGGCCCAAAAACCAGCCAAACAAAGCAACAAAACACCCAAGCCAAGTGATACAGTTAAAACAGGAAGCTGTTCTCTGAGCCCAGGAAACCACCAAGAGCCAGTGTTCTGACTTTCACTTCAGGTCTTTCTACATTTGCTCCCGAGACTCCTAGGAGTTAGGAGCTTTCCTGGTCCATGTGAATTTTTCCCAATCGGTAACTTGTGATTTATTTTCAGCATATATGTGTTATTTATCTTCAACAGAGAATTACTGGTCAATGGAGAAAAGAAACAGATGACTGCCTGAAAATAAAGCTTTTCTGTATTGCAAATCTCTGTTGAAAGATACATTATAATAGTACACATGCAATTTTCCATAATAAACAAGAACAGCGACCCTTGGGGCTGTTAGGGAGACTGAGGAATGGGTAGAAGTCAAGTCTGGATTCTAGAGTTGCCTGACTCCCAAGGGTGCTCCTGTTGGTAGTTGCTACTTTGAGCGCTATGTGGGCCTGTCCTGGGCGTAAGACCTGCACAGTAGTTGGGAATCAACACAAAAATTCCTGCAGGTAGAGAAGCTCATTGAGAACCAAAATTGTAAAAATATAAACTATACCAAGCAAAATTTCAAAGAATATCTTTTTTTGAAAACCTGCTTTGACTCTCCTTTTAGATTGTCTGTCTCATTTTGTGAGACCAGACCTGCAGATGGGGACTGTGAGACTACTTTGGCAGCAATCACTGTTCATATGCAAATATACATATGAACAGTGTCCACCATCAACAGTCTTAAGGAAAACTCAAAATAAACACAAAAATAGATGCTATTACACATCCAATGGATGTTTTCTTTCAAGAAATAACAGCGGGAAAAATTAGAACCGCATATGTCGCTGTCACTATGTAAAACACTGCAGCATGTGTGTGTGTGTGTGTGTGTGTGTGTGTGTCTGTGTGTCTATGTGTATCTGGGCAGATGCAACGATGATCAGAGTTGTTCCAGGCAAAAGGTGGTGCTCAGGGAAATAGGCAGTGCTGTGTATTGAACTCTGAGCCCCAGCATGCAAAGCTTGTGCTTTGAAACTTCTAGCCTGGTCTGCCATAAGATTTGACATGCAATATTTTGGGAATATAATTTTGAAGTTCCCTAAAATGTTGAACAAGAGTATTATCTTGTTATTTAATAATTCTCTCTGTATATACATTCTAAAGAACATTGAAAATATCTTAGAACAAAATGATTAAATTTATGGCAGCATTATTTGTGGTAGCCCAAATTGGAAACAACCCAAATCCACATTCCTTGATGAATAAATATATGCAGAATGAAAACTATACAATGTAATATCACCCTTTCATAACAGATACCAGTACATGTTTTTCTTTGACAGTGGAATTCAGACCGAGGCACTGACACTTGTGAAACATGTGCATTATAATCCCTGGTGCTTAGTCAGTCATGAAAGAAATTGAAGCAGGCAGGAGACATGGAAGCAATGAGTATCTCTGAAGGTGATGAAACCAAGATACAGACTACTGTTTTTCTGTCACAAGCCTAAAGAATCCCCAAAGCATGAAGACAGCTGGAAACACTTTGAGATGCACAGAGGCTCAGATTCTGATCCCAGTTCTAGCCCAGAGAAGGCATGAATGCTTAGGGGAGAGTCTGCACAGAAACCAAGAGCAAAGGGCTGTGATAAGAATATGAAAGACAGCAAAAGTCTAAAATTGCTCCCCTTACCAACATCCTAGGTACAGACTCTTATTAACACAGAAAGTGCAAGCTGGTGGAGTTTGAGGAAAACCTATAAAACCTTCTTACCTAAACCAAGCAGCATTCTGGTTCTGCATGTATCTTAACTTGGGAAAGCTCATTTGGAGGTCCTAGCAGGGGACCACAGCTATTTTTATATCCTCAACTGAAGAATGATCCTTCTCCATATGGGCAAGGCCATCCTCATCGACTGAGCATGCAGCTTCGGGAGAGATAACATGGAACAGTGAGGTAGAAGGGGACCTCACCTAGTCAGTCTGATTGTTCTAATCAGTCCTGGCAATCACTGGGGCACTAGATGTCTCAGCCAGATTGTCTTCACATCCACATGCCCCTTAACTTGGATGGTGTCCCTTTACTGTCTTCACTCACGAGAATCTCATTCTCTCTTGAATGTGTTTCTCTCACTTCATCTTCTCTTGCCTTTTGAAGTTCTTTTTTGTGAGGGCAGGCAACAGACACAGAAACCTAAATGGAGGCCAGAACTTTTTTCCCTTTTCTACAAAGAGAAGTCCCTCACTCAGATTTGAAGGCATGATGTTGAAGAGCCCATGTGCTGGGGACTGAGTGGATGATCCAGAGACGAAGTGTACCGCATGTGTAGATTATTGGCTGCCTTGTGTGTAGCATTAGTGGGATAAGAACAGCCACAGCATACAGATGCTTGTGGCAGATATTAATAACCATTTTCTCTAGGCACTTCCCCTGGGAGTTACAGGTGACTCCAGAATCAAGCCTGTTCTCTCTCTCTCTCTCTCTCTCTCTCTCTCTTCGTTTCAATTTCCCTACTTCTTCCAATATCATTTGGAGTGCCATTAAGGTGGAAAACAAAGAAACTTCATAAAGATCTCCAGGAAAACAGAGACAACTCGATGAAAACCTTCCTTTCAAGTATGCATTCTGGGGGTGACTCTTGTACTCATGCTAAGACAAAACGTAACTTTATTATTTTTTTAAATTTATTTATTCATTGAATCACTGTGGGAAAAGTTGCAAAGCTTTCAGATTTAAGTCTTGGTCATGCAATCATCAAACACATTTCCCTTCACCACTACTTATTTTTCACCAAGAAGAACCCCAATATACCCTCCTTCCCAACCCTCCTAATGCCTGTGAGGCAGATGAATTCTAGTTCAAAATGTAACTTTAAGTCCCGGATATATTATTCCTAGACCAGAATACTGGAGAGTCTCTTTCTGTCCACTTAGTGCTCTTCCTGTCAATTCCTCCCTTAGTGTAGGAGCAGTATCTAGTAGGAAATGGAATCTTAATGAGACCAGCACACAGGAAAAATGAATACAGACAGCGGGATATAGTGCTAAGAGGAAACAGCAAGGCAGAACTGCATCTACATCTTTGCCCCTTATCAATTCATTCTCTTTTTTTAAATTTTTAAAAAAATTTTTTTTTTATTAGTGAAACACCATGAGGTACAGTTGTAAATTTACAAATTTTTGTGCTTGGATTTCTGTCATACCATGATCAAATACCCATCCCTCCACCAGTGGCCATTTTCCACCACCAGGATAATATCCCTCCCCCCATCCCCCCAACCCCCCCATCCCCCTCTGCCACTGTGGCAGGGCAGTCCCTTTTGTTCTCTCTCTCCTTTTGGGTGTTGTGATCAGCAAAAGAGGCATTGAGTGGCAAACATGTTCAGTGCAGTCTACTTTCAACCTGCATCTCCTCTCCTGGGAGGATCCTCCAAACACCCCCCATTTGGTGCTCCCTTCTCTATCTGAACTGTCCTTTCCCCTAGAATACCCGGCTGGCCTCTAAGCTATGGAGTAATCCTCCTGGTGCTGATCTCAGCTATTCTTGGGTATTAATCTCATATTTTGTTACTTTATATCCCCCAGATGAATGCAATCTTTCTATGTCTATCCCTCTCTTTCTGACTCATTTCGCTTAGCATGATACTTTCCATATTGTACCACTTGTATGTAAATTTCATGACTTCATCTTTTCTAAGAGCTACATAGTACTCCATTGTGTAGATGTACCAAAGTTTCTTTAACCAGTCATCTGTTCTTGGGCACTCAGGTTTCTTCCAGTTTCTGACTACTGTAAAGAGAGCTGCAATGAACAAACAAGTGCAGATGTCACTTCGATTATACATTTTTGCCTCTCTGGGATATATTCCGAGGAGTGGTATCGCTGAGTCAAATGGGAGCTCAATTTCTAATTTTTTGAGGAACGTCCATACTGTTTTCCAAAAGGGCTGAACCAGTCAGCATTCCCACCAACAGTGAAGGAGTTTCCCTTTCTCGCCACATACGCGCCAGCAACGGTTGCTTTTCTTCTTTTGAATGTGGGCCAGTCTCTGAGGTGTGAGATGGTATCTCATTGTGGTTTTCATCTGCATCTCCCTGATTATTAATGATTTAGAGCATTTTCTCATGTGCTTTTTTGCCATTCAGATTTCTTCTTTGAAAAATTTTCTGTTCATTTCATTGCCCCATTTATTGATGGGTTTGGATGTTTTCTTCTTGTGGAGTTCAACCAGTATTTTGTATATCCTTGATATCAACCCCTTGTCAGATGTGTTATTCGTCGATTACCTCGAGCAGGCCCCAGTAACGTCTCTTTCATCCTAGCCCTGAGATTATATTCAAGGCTATTTAGGAGAATGAGACCCATCATTGTTACTGGTATTTGGCATATTTGGT